AGTAGTGCGGCTTGAAGTTCGTGCAGCGGAACCAACGCTTCCGGAATCCATTCGGCATGATCGAAATTTCCTGGGCACGGCGTCCCACTGCCGCCTGAAGGTGTGCAAAGAGCCAGGGTAGATCTTCTCATCCAAGCGGAGCCCGTGTGCTACTGTGAACACAAATTGTATAGCCAGGTCGTCGTCGATGCGGCCGTGCTGTCGCCTTGCGAACCTCGAGGTTTTAGGGTTTGTAAGGTGCACAAACAAGCTTGAGGCGTGACCCAGAATGTCCTCCGAAAACACTACATCCTTCCGCGTCAAGGCAATCAGCTCACCAGGGTGCAGCACGGCCAAGAAGCCGACGATCAAAGCAGCGGTCCAGCAGTACCATTCCCACAGCAGCCCAAGACCAACCGTTGCTCTCACACAAGCCACAGGCAGCACTGGTCGGCACTCGCCAAGCTCAGCACGCTGCCACTTCTTAGCGACCTGCCACAGGGGCGTCAAGACATTTCGATTCTGAGGGTAGCGGTCCTGCGTGGCCGTAAAGGCATACACAAAGAGGTACCACGGCATGCCGACCTCGTATATGTGTAGGCCGAAAGCACGTGGCGCAATGGCAGTTGCCTCTGAGCTCTCAAAGTCTGCCGCCTCGACGGCGGCCTCCTCCTCAAGCCAGGTCAAGAAAAGGCTGAGCCTCTTCTGCATCTTGTGGCGGGCGCTGGCAGCGAAACCCGCACGTAAGTATAGTCTGGATGGGCCGGCGAAGAAAGTATAATGTCGTAGGCGTTGCGCAGCCCAGGGCTCTGCACTAACCCCGCCAAATGCCACTTCGCACCCAGCCCCGCCCGATAAGCACGCGCCACACGAGCTGTGGTGGTCCAATCGCCACCGGAACCAGTCAAATCAGTCAACCAGGGAAGGCTCAGGACTTTCAGCTCGTCCAAGGGTAGGGGCAGTGTCAGCAGCAGGAGCTGGCACTAAGCCTCACTGAGCTGAAGCCTTCCTCGGCTTCCCCGGTCGCAGCTGCAGCGGCCGGACGGTGAGCTCGAGTCGTCCGACCCGCAAGGTGAGCTCTTCCACGTCCCGGTCCGTGCCACTCATGCACGGTGCGCCCGGTACTCCGCCAGGCGTTGTTCCGCGTTCAGGCGCGGTGCCTCAAAGTTCTCGCCTTCATCCACCAAGGTCCGAAGCAGAGTGACTAAAGTCCTCCGGCAATGGGTTGATAAGGCGAAGCAAGCAGCCCAGCAGGAAGGCAGTGAGCAGCGAGGACGAAGAAGAAAACGGGGCAGCCAAGGAGTGCCCGCGCAGGATTGCAACCCGAGAGAACCGAGAGAACTGAAGAGTTGTCGGGCCTCCAACAGCACAGGTGCCAACCATTGCCCTAACATGAGCCCTCAGAACTTGAGAGGCAACTCATCGGACATATTCGATGCAGGAGATACTTGGCAAACCCTAAATCCTAAACCCTAAACCTAAACCCTAGGGTTTAAGGATGTTAAGGGCTTTAATGGATCATCAGGCTCTTGGTCTAGGCTTTGGACCTGCGGTCTACAAGCTTTAGGGTTCAGGGTCGAGGGTTTAGGGTTTACGGGTAGGCCAGAGCATAACTTGGAATTTGAAGGGTTGGTCCCTCGGGCTGCAATCTAATGTAATATAATACAACCTGATATAAATCATACTATTTACAAGTATTCTTATTCTGATTAATGCGATTATTACTATTTGGTTATTAGTACTCATACTATACCATATCTAAGTACCATAAAGCCCAGGGTCCAAGATGGAATCGATAAAGGGCTGAAAGACCTCACGGTTGATGCCGGAGGAGTAAAGCTCCTCCGGCGCCAAGTTGGAGGTCGCCACGACTGTGCCCCCGGCCTAGGGTTCCACGCTTGGGGGGCTTAGGGTTTGGGGATTTCGGGGGTTTACGGTTTCGTGCTCAAGGATCCCTAGGGTTTAGTATTTTGGGGTTAAGGTCCCAGGCTTTCGGACTTTAGGGCTTAAGAAGGCCGGAAGGGTTTAAGGTGCTAGAGCCCTGAATGAAGGTCTTCTTTGTTCATGTCAATGTGTCTACTCGCTTAAGAATACGAGTCTGCGATATATTACGAGAAATGTACAAGCTTCATCATAAGCAAAGTCCTGCGCATTGCTGCGACTCCATCTGTCTATACGTTCCTTCTCTGTCTAGCCGGTGTCTACCTTAACCCAACCATCCCTGCCTTGAAGAGGTGCTTAAAGAAAGAGCACATCAGCAGCGCATCTCCGACGTTCAGGACGTGGCATTCGTCGAAGCAGAGCAGCGGCGTGGAAGAGACAAACTCCTGCGCGACCAGAGCCAAGGGATCTGCCATCTTGCCCACGTCCTCCGGGTTTAGGGGTTTAGGGTTTAGGGTTTAGGATGTTTCGTAAGAAGCTTCGTTTTCTGCCAACCTTAATGGGAATATGTGCTAAGAAAAATTCCTTGGTAGTTCAGGCAACTTAAGCTGTAAAATGTTACATATCCCTTTATACAACCAAAAAGACCCGGTCCTTCCGGATTCGATGCCTGAGATGCTTCGGGTTCTGCTGTCTCATGCTACATGGAAAGCCTGCACTGCGCTATGCCATATCAAACTCAAACTGCAGCAGTGCACTGTTAGCATGCTATAGTTTGCAATGCATTCCGTGGTGAGATGCTGCTTCTGACCCTTGTGATTCGGCCTCGTACGGCTTAGGGTCTCGTACTTAGGGTTTAGGGTTTAGGGGTAACCGAACATCTTTACACACGTTGCATGTAGCGAGCGTGCTTCATCTGGCTCTTAAACTGCTGAATGGTAAAATCTGAGTAAATCCTTCCCAGCTGCAGGCTTTTGTTCATGTCCAACATGAAGTCGTGGAAGTGAGCTCTGTGGCTTGCCACGCCCTGCTCACGCACACGGTCATAGAACATGTCCATCATCATGGTCTTTCCAGCCCCGGGATCGCCGTAGATGTAGATGCCTTCAAGGAACCCAGAGAACCCAGTACCCCTTAATTGAGGAAGATACCTTAAATCATAATATTAAGGCCCCTATAATTTAAGGTAGTATATTCCTTAATTAACTAAACCCTTAAACCCTAAACCCTAAACCCTAACGGTTTTTAAGTAAGGGGTATTGGGTTCTCTGGGAAGCCGAGGAAGCCGGGTGTTGCGGAGCTTTGAGGCTTCGGATATTCGAGCTCCAGGGCCAAAAAACTGTGGGTTTTTTGCCATGGCTTCGTGCGCAGAGCCCTCTGACAAGAAACTCTTGTTGCAGGTAGCATGCGAACTCGAAGACCGCTGCCATAAGTGAGCGCAGAGGGCCCAGAACTGAAACAGCAAAGCAAACAGTGGCTGCCAAATTCTTCCCAGAGCTTTAGGGGTTTAGGGTTTAGGGTTTAGGGTTCTGCCTCAGATAAACTGGTTTTGGATAACCCTCTTGACATAGATTCTCAGCCGCCGTGCAACTTAAGACGTTTTCAACACTAAACCGTCAGCCCCCTGGACCCTGCGACCCTCAACCCCAGGGCACCTACTGTTGATGATATTACCTTAAGGACCCTAAACTATGGAAATTATGGTATATCCCTTACTATGGGTAGTGCAGGATTTATATCATCAACCGTACCTCTCGGTTGGGATCGCTTGGACGATGTCAGCTCCCTATGCAGCAGGTCCAAACGCTCCAAGCACGGCAATTGCGCGGCAGTGTGCCGTCGTGCTCCCGTCGCCACCTGCGTCGGATTCCGTAATTACCCACCAATACCCACATTGAGGCTTCGTTTTGCCAAACATAGTGCAGGTGGAACAAATTCTACTCAAATCCTGCACCTGCGACTGATACATCTCTATCAGTGACAAGCCATTTGTCGGAGCAGAAAGCCAACGGAAATGATGTCCATGGACTTTGGAAGGTTGTAGATGAGCTTGCCGCAAGGACATCCGACCCCATGGCATCATACGCGCCGCCATCTTGTTGATGGACGTGTTATGTTGGGCCGGTTAATGCCTGCTATTTTGCCTGTTTGAAGGCGACACATGTATCACCAACACGTCTCGTCTTGTCATCTGCGCGATGAATCTCAGACTGTCGCTTCCAACAGCTGGCACGGATCTCAAGTGGCACTTTCACGTTATTTTCAACTTGATGCTCAACCAACTGCTACGGTCTAGTTGAGCCCAAATTCGACACAATGCTGTTCAAAAGCGACAGTTTGAATAAATAACCATTCGAACAGTATCAAACGACACTCCGCATGTTGTCCTGTGCTTTCGGGATTGCGCAAGTTGCACTGTGCCTGTGTTTGCTCGCATGCCTTCAACCTCCTTCTTTGGGAAACTCCTCACGAAGCCTACTTCCTTGAAGCCCCGCGATCACACGTCATTTTCAATCTCCTAAAGCAGCGACGTCGCTTCAGCGCTTTCTGCCTCGGATGGGGCATGCCTCGCACACCCAAACCAGGCACCAGGTCACCGAGCGGAACGGGGAGAGGTCGGGGGAGGGGCGCCAACCATGAAAACCAACAAGCAACACATGATCATTGAATGCCAAGAGACTCCTGGTTCGTACCTTCCACCTTTCCACCGATCAGGCCAGCGCTACCATCAGCAGCTTCCAGTGGAGCATGGGAAGCCGATTGTACTGAAACCGAGCTCAGGCTGCGAACCTGACTACCTGGACGGAAACGTTCAACGTGAATTTCTGAATGCTGCGCTGTACTGTAGCGCCTCTTCAGCTTTCCCAAGCAGCAATGGACACCTACTGGCATCGACAACTCTAGCGGCCGGTTTGGCCAAGCATGCTACGAGAAGCCCTTTCACTTTCACAAAATGTCGGGGAGTCACTGTGCGTAAGGCAAAAAGATAGCCTCCACGAACCCAATCAGCACCTCCACCTGGTAACAGGTAACAGGTAACACAGCATGCACCATGGTATGAGCTAGAATCTGCAGAGTTCCGGCAAGGACTTTTACAGGCTGGCGGCCCCAGCCCTGGGGCGCGTTCCATGGTCCGCTGACTAGGAGTACGACCAGGCCAGGTCGTTGGGCGCCACGTCCGCAAGCAGCTTGACTTTGAACCTCCGCCAGGTCATCCAATTATCGAAGTCCTGGGGTGCACTGGGGGGGCTCACAGTAACGTCCGTATGGCTCATCACCACGTAGCGGTCGTGGTGCGGGTTGTACAAGGCCACCTGGCCCTCACCAGCGTCGACCACGGCAAAGCGCACTTCTGGCCACTCCTGCAGAGAGGTTGGGTTTCGACTGTAGAACAGAGAAGGCCAAAGCCCCGTTAGGGTCCCTCCCCTTTGCTTAAGGCAGATAGCACACTTGCTCCCTAAACCAATCTCTTTATCCAACAACATCAAGAATACAAAGAAGCACATTGCCGTCCCCTTGGGCCCCTCCTTCGGGGGCGGCAGCTCGTGGGCGGCCTTCTCGGGGCTGCCAATCAAGTCGCCAGTCATCGTCACAAAGCGGTTGGCGAGGGTGTGGTGCAGGGCCACCTCGCCGTTTCCTGCATCCACTACTGTGAAGCCCCCGCGGAAAGAGTCGAGGTTGAAGGTATGCCAGAAGCTGCTGGGTTGACTGGGGTTGATGTTTCCATCGGGATCCATCAGCACGTATGTGTCAAACACAGTGCTGAACAAACCCACCACCGTCCCTGGCTGCAAGAGCCAAAAGCTGCGCTTCAGATGAAAGCGCGGCCACGTCATGGTGTCTGGCAAGGCAGTCACATTCCATTCAAATGTATCCACCCCAACGTCGTTCATGCGGATGATCCTGTTTCGTAGCGGCGAATGCAGGGCCACCTCGCCCTTCCCAGCTTCCACCACCCTGAACTTAAGGTCGGTCCACTCATCGGGGAGCTGGCTGGCTGCTTTGTAAGGACCTGCAATGAGATCCCCGGTAGCAGTCATCTTCACAAACCGGTTGAACTTTGGACTGTGCAAAGCAATCAAACCGTTGCCGGCATCCACGACGGCAAACTTCTCCCACGTCCAGCTCGCGGGCAGCGGGTCGTCGTAGCTGCAAGAGCCGCTGCGATCGATGTCCGCATTGTCATTCATTCGCAAGTAGCGGCTGTGGTAAGGGCTGTAGAAGGCCATGATGGAGCCTGGTGCTATTGGAGGCACCACAGGTGTTACTTGGCCCACATCGTTGTCCCCAAAGCCTGTCAGGGAAGCGATGGCCTTGGCCTTGCTGCTGGCTGACACCCAGGGCATGGCCGCAAGGACGAGGGAGAACTGGTGGGCGATGTTGAGCAGCTGGATCCGCTTCTGCGGCGACTCGAAGGGGCCAAAGTTGATCTTCATCCCCAGCTCCAGGGAGTTATCCTCCAGGAGGCCTTGGATTTCAAAGTTCACCATCCCCGGATTCCGGAAACTGAAGAGCTGGTGGATGCTCGACTCGGCCGAGCCGGCCTCAGCTTCTGTCTGCAAACCGCTCATGGCCTTCCTGGCCTTCATTTCTTTGACCCTTTTCAGCACGTCCTGGCCCCGGAGCTCCGAGGTCTTGTTGATGCCGAAGTCCCTCCCGTAGTCGATGGCCGCCATGTAGAGGTCCTCGAGGTCGGTCTCCCAACGCAGCTCCGCCATGGTCGAGCTCTGGCTCTTCGAGCTCTCTTCGCTGGATCGGTTCGTCTCCAGGAGGGACTGAGACCGGGACATGGTCTCCACGGTGCGGTCGTCCTCTCCGCTGTGGCTGCCCACGGCAGTGCCGAGGGGGTTCCGCCAGGACTCATGGGCCCCGAAGGTGTTGCTGCCCACGAAGTCCGTACTGGCTCCGAAGCGCTTCTGCAAGCGCAGGGTCCGGCTGAACAGCATCACGCCGCCAGACCGGATCTTGGACTGCAGCACACTCAGGTCCACTCCATCGGGCTGCTTGTCAGGCCAACAGACCGTGGTGTCCAATTCGGCCAGGGGCGCAGGCATGAGCTCGAAATTCAAGCCACCCACGAAGGCGATCACAGGCTGCATGCCCAGGGAGAAGGTCACGGTCACACACTTCTCGATGGACATCTCCCAGGTGTAGAAGGAGTATCCTTGCCACCTGTCCCAGTTGGCTTTCATCCAGTCATTGTCACAGGGCACGCCAAAGGGTTCCAGGGGAATAAAAGCATCAGCACTACTACCTTGCCAGTCTCCCTTCGTTGCCTGGTCGTTGCTTCCAGTCTTGCTCTTGGGCGCAAAGGCCAGGCAGGAGTTTGTATCTGTCTCCTTGCCGTTCCACTGGGTGATGAGCCTCGTTGCATAGTTGCCTGACTGATCCGAAACGCTCAGAGCGACGACGCCCTGGGGGTCGGAGTCGTCATCGCCCCGCTTTGCGCGCTTTCCGCGCTGGGCATCTTGCTGCACTGCCGACATCCCCTGGCCACCTTGGCCACCTTTGTCCTCCTGGCGTGGAAGCTTGGATCTCGAGTGCTTTCGGTGCTGCGAGTGGGTCTTGATGGTCAGGCTCCTTCCAGCATGGTGCACCACTGGAGTGGCATCAACGGCAGGGAACGTGGATTCTGCGGCTTGCTGGATGAGGGTCGTACTCTCAGACAGGACTTGCTTGACAACAAAAGTCGCCACCTGCGCAAAGACATCGATGAACTCCGTGAGCATGTCACCCATCTTCGTTAAGAAACTCAGTGGGGGGACCACCTGCAGAAGCTGCAGGCCAAGGCATTTAATAACCTCCAGGGCATTTCCCGACGTGGCGCACTGAACCAAGTCATTTCCGAGGTTGACCATGGCCTTGATCGGTCCGGGCCAATTCACGTTGAGGGTGCTGAAGTTGAAGTCGAAGAGGTCACACCTCTGACCCATGAGCTGTACATAACACTTCTGGCGGCCCCAGTTGACGTGCATCCCGTTGCTATCCACGCTCAGGGATGGCCAGGTGGTGTCTGGGCAGCCGGCACTCCAGTCGTCGAAGCCCCTGACGAGGATGTCCACGGCCCTCTCCACAGTGTCGATGACGGTGTTGGCCACAAAGGCCACCTGATCGCTCGCAGAATCGTAGGCGTCCCCCAAGGCGTCCCCAACCAGGTTTGCACCGTCGCTGACGCCGTTGACAACATCCTCGGCCGTGTTCGCTACCGCCTTTGCAGCTGAGTTGGCAGTGTCGGTGACAGTGTCCACGGCATCCTCGACCCAGTCCAAAGGATTCGGAATGAGTCGACGAACAGCTTCCGACGTGTCCTCTTCCAACAAGGCCCCTTGCGGCTCTTGCTTCTTTTGCTTCCTTTGCTGGTCATGTTTGGAGTGCACCTTCTGCTGCTCTTCCTTGTCCTTCTGGCGCAGTGCCTGGGGCTTGAAGTCGCGATGCTCCCGTTGATGATTGTGCTTCTGCATCACGCTCCTTAGGGTCTCGTCGGCTTTCTGCTGGCGGGCTGCGGGGTCGACCTGCTTCATGGAGACCGCGTTGTTGTCGTGATCCAGGTCCAGGTGATCCTTGACAATGTCCCGAAGGTCCTGGATCTCGTGCTGTTGCAGCTCGACCACCGTCTCCAGCTGCACAATCTTCAACATCAAAAACTCCAAGTTGCGGCCCAGCTCGCCAAGTCCATGTCTGCCGTCGGTGCTGTTGCTGGTGTTCTCAGGGTTCGGGACGTTGCTCATGGCCTTCAAGTCCTGCTCTGCGTTCATCCCCAGGATCGTCAGCAGCTCCTCGTTCACCGTCCCGTTGCTGCTGTTAACGCTCATGTTGATGGGGAACTCGGAGAGGTTGCCGGCGAGGGCCGAGTGCACCTCCGCCTTCAGTGCCAAAAGCGAGGCCGCCGACGCGGCCGATGCGGCTGAGGCTGGACATTTTCCATCCTGACAGCCCTCCTCCGCGATGCATATGTTGAAAACGAGGAAGAGAACCGCCGTCCAACCGGTATGAGCCAAGCTCATGGTATTGGAAGATTCAGAAACGGAATCCGGGATCAATGATACTTGAGCCGAGATTGCTGACACCAGAGCCCAAAGTGCCAACATACGTACCAGGAAAGTGCAAGTGCTCAATGTTCTCACTTCGTGCACTACACAACAATGTTGAAATTGCCAAGCTCTCAAAGTCTCTAACTCTAACTCTGTGGATAGCTTTACAGGTTATCTGCGAGGTGAAAGGTCCAACCTCGCAACACACTTGCTTCTGCAGTTGGTGCATTTGCGCCTGGTCAGCTTTGGGATATTCGCGGCTTGCAGACAATGAGGTCCTGCAGTTCTGTCCCGGAGCGCTCTCACAAGCAGCTGATCAAACATCCTTGCTATGCCTAGCATTAACCAAAGAGGAATGCTCCTGCAAAGGCCGATGTATCAGCTTGCACATCCAAAGACCGGATGAGAACCCCAAGCCCTAAACCCTAACCCAAGAAAGACCAACACCCATCCAAGCCCGTCAGAACCCTCCCGCAAACACCCTAAACCCTAAACCCTAAAAGCATTCTCAGCTTGGCGCCCTGCCACATGGTCCCACATCCGAGAAGCCTGCAGAAGCTTCGCTACACCGCCTTTCTGCGCATGCTCCCCTGAACCCCAAACCCAAAACCCTCCCTAAGCCCTAAACCCTCAACCGTAGACCTTACAACCCTAGACGAAACCCGAAACCCAAAACCCTGCACAAGTCGTAGTCCCACAAGAGAACGTGCACCTGCAAGACTTGGCCGCGGCTGTGGTTCAGTTTGCCAAGAGGGCAACCCCCGGATCCTCTTCCGGCACACCTGATGGCGTGACACCAAGCAAACCCAGCAGGGACCGTAAAATTCCGTAGTTTCCCGGCTCCGGCCTTCAAACTTCTTCGGAAAGGCGAGAGCAATGGACTCGTTCCAGGAAGGGTTCGGATCCTCCGAGTCTTGCGCAGCATCGGCAGCGCATACTCATTCCCAATATGACTCTGTGTACATGCGCAAGGCAGGCAAATACGGAACCGAGAGGACTTGGAAACTGCGCAACTGCATGCACCTGGTGTACAATCTCCGCTTCACAACACCTCTGAAACCACTCCTCTAAAATTGTGCCAGACTTGGCGAATCTGCAGATGGCTGCCTGGCTCGGACGAGGTTGAGGCTGTCTTCAACTCTGCAACACCGAGCCAACACGGAGAATCAACGAGGGCTCGAGATGCCCAGAAAAGCAGCGCTCGGAGGCAAGGCCGACCTTCCTGTCCTTGTTCCGGACTCGCATGACCCTCTGCTCAACCTTAGGGAACAAGGGGGGGAAGAAGTGTGCTACTCTACTACGGCAAGCTTCTGTCTGCTGCTACACTAGTCGCCGCGAACGTCGTTAACCTCGCCCGATCTCGGACAAATGCGAATTCGCCTGCAGCTTGACATTCCGTAAGCCGATACATTTATCACACTCACACGTGCATGGCAACAGAAACCTCAGTCAGGCCAAGCCTGTCAACAGCAAAAACTTCGTGCACT